TATACATATATATACATATATATATATATACACATATATATACAGGTCCCGCGAGACTACTCCAATTACTCATAGGAAAGTAGATGAGATCGAAATAAACATAAAAGTCCTTCACCATTTAGCGATATTCGTAATAATAATCAAGATATTAATGTTTACAATTGTATTAATGAGAGTGCGCCGATAGAAATGCTCCGGCCACTCGAAGTATAGCCCAGCCCACTTTTTCAAACATAGGCTGCGCCGGCAGATAGTTAGATAGTTAGATAGCGTTAGATAGTTGAAAGAAGCGCGCTATTGCTTAGCTATTATTTACTTTTATGTTTATGTCGATCCCATGTTCCTTCTTATGGGCAATTGGAGAAGTCTCGCGGGACACCCTGTATATAAAATTAATAACCTTTTATAAAACAAAATATATTCATTTTAACATTGCGTGAATATTCTTTGTATGCAATAATATTGTTACATATCGCAAAGCCGTCCATTAATATAGCAGATAGAAGATTTAAATAATGTGTCTTACAAAAATATGTATATTTATAAAATAGAAAATTATAATTTTAGTATTATTTGTATGTAACTGATTTTATAACTTTTTATAATTAAATATAAAAATAATAGAATTTGCAATACTGAAATATAAAATATTTAATCATTGAGACCAAATATTTATTTATTGCATGTACACCCAAGGACTTCGATTCTTTCGAAATTTCCTCAAAAATTTTCACTAACTGAAAAATGACCACTTTTCTACATTAATACTTACAGTCCGTGCGCGATTAACGGCTAAACCTTTCTACTACATTTCTATTTACAACAAAATTTAACGTAAAAACGAAATAATATGAATTTTTGGAAGTTTTAAGAAAGTACTCGAGGGAAAGAATCGAAGTCCTTAGGTGTACCTTATGCAAAAAAAGAAAAGTTTTATGCTTCTCTTTCTTCTTTTACTAATTATGAAATCTAACTTTGATAAAGATCTAATGGAGGGTAATCATCTCAAAAATCGATGAAATTATATTCATTCGATGCGTTTTTGCATAAAACGAAAGAATCAGAAATAAGTGTTGCTCTGCCTCACGAACCGAGATATTAAGCTAAAGTTATTAAGGAGGAAGTCCCTCAGGTGAGGGAAAGGCGCCTTCAACCCTAACCTATGAGTTATATGGCGCAAAACTAAATTTAATTCAAAATAGAACAAAAAAAAAGAAAAAGTATGACAAACATAAATCTATGGAACAACAACTTCAAATAACTCTTCCAGTTCTCTTGATAAAATTAAAAATAACTCTTAATGTTGACAAATCTTCTGATTTAATGAGCTCAAAAACATTGATAAAATACTCTTCTTAACCTTAATTTCTGATCTAACACAGCTCTGAAATCATCATATCTACATTGCCAAATAATATGATCCAAACTCTATCATATCCACATCGCTCATTATCCACATAATTCTTCTTTGCTGGAGAAACCCCTAAGTTATAATGATTAGATCTAATCCTATTTACAAAAGTAACAAAATACTGCTCCGCATTTAATTCACAAAACCAAGGTTTCATTTTATTCATATAATAATTATCAAAATCAAATTTTATTTTACTACACTGCCTCCTTATTGTATCCTGAATATATTTCCATGTTTCTGACTTAAACATTCTTCTTAAATCTCATATCGGTATATATAAATTCTTATCTTCCTCTTTGATGCAGCTTCCTTGGCCAGTGAATCAGCTACTTCATTACCTTTAATGCCAATACGAGACGGCACCTATAAAATAATCTTCATATCGTACGTCCCCTTGAGTATATAATGCAGATTTCTAATTTCCATAATAACAATTCTTACAAATGTTAAGCTGATTATTTCTAATAGCCTCCAAAACAGATTTACAATCGGAGAAAATATCAAATCCGTGGGTTTTTTTTAGAGTCTTGATTCAAAACATAATCTAAAGCAGCCTTAATAGTAAAGGCCTCTGCTGTATACGACAAATAAAATTCATCGAGGCTAACTTTATACGAATAATCACTGTTCTCAAAAACGATATTGTAGGTCTTTTTTTTATTATGACAATATAAGAAGGGGTATAGCCGTTAAGAGCGAGCCTATCAGACAAGAACTACATACAAGACTAATATCATCAGCACGTGCTTAGGGTACATTTCCATTTCTGAGAATGTAAAGTTCCTTCATAATCACAGACTGCGCTCATGTATTAGATTATCTAGCTTATATTAGGTTGGTGCATATGAAATGTCGGATTTTCTTTACATATGAACGTTTGTCTCCCTATTTTCGTTATGCTTTTGTTTTTGGCATAGCCTCGTTAGTCGTATTGTCCATTGCCAGAGTCACATTTCAATAAAGAAGATTTTCTCAAAAGTGTTCTATTTTGTTATTTGTTTTGAATTTCATGAGGATATGAATTCAACCGATATTCATGTAATTTTTTTATATGAGTATAAACTTGCAGTAATGCTGCAATAATGCTGCAAAAGCTGCACGCAATATTAACAAGGCAGGGGAGAATACTGTTAACGATCGAAAAGTGCAGCGTTGGTTTGAAAAATTTCGATCTGATGATTTTTCCCTA